TGTCTCGTTTTAAAAGTTCCCCCATGCATTTATCTACAAATCCCAGTAAATTACTGCACAGAGAGACAGGAAGTGGCTCAGAGAGACAGGAAGTGGCTCAGAGAGACGTGATGGATGTGGTTCAGGCGAATCTCAAACACCACTAACTGACTGATATCATCCGATGGAGGCATTAGATTTGCTCCAGATGAGGGTAGAAGTGAATTAGAAGTGCAATAAAAAGGATTGATAGTTTTAAAACTTTTTTTTCCATATAAAACTTTGTACACCATGTAGTTCATTTGCATTTATTCCCCTTTACTCTGACACCTCTAAATAAAATCATGGGCAACCAAATTTGTACAGAAGCCACATAACATAATAGTGTTATAATGTTTTATTCAATCTGACAATAAATAAAGCATCATCATGCAGACTAGTGCTGACAATTAGTTTAGTAATGAATTAATCTATTGACTATTCTGACAATCAATTCATTTGATCAACAAAATTTCAGTTAACCACTTAAATCTTTTTACACAATATTAGAAATACATAAAAATATGCAAGTAAATAAACAAATTCCTGTTTTTAAATAAGAAAATAATGCCTAAATGCAATATCACAGCATTTCTTTAGTGAACATTTAACCATTTTTTTAGATTAAGTGATTAGTAATAATAAAATGTGATTAATAGGGATTTTTTAAAAAGAATTTGAACCAGGTGAAGCTAAAACTCTCCCGCTTGAGGAGTTTTGGGTTGAACATATTTACAAGTAAAGGTTTTTTGTTCATCTTCAATTCAAAATGTATGTATTTTTTTACAAGTTTGGTTTAATTACTGCTCTGACTGTGTTGTTATTTCAACAAAATTGCATTTTTGAGTCTGCATACTTCAGTTAATCAATTACTGAATTAGTTGACTAGTATTTCAATAATTGATTAGTCACGATTAATCTGATTAATCGTTTCAATTCTACTAGCCTGGCACAAGTCATGTAGCAAATATGTTGAGGAAGATGCTCACAGACAAAAATATAAGTTTTTTTTGTTTTTGTTTTTGCAAATACATATAAAGTGCACATTGCAAATTTTCTAGAAAACACCATTTCCTCTGTGAAACACGGTGGTGGCAGCATCATGTAGTGGGGACCCTTTTCTTCAGCTGGGGAAAGTCAGTGGTAAAGCTTTCACAACTTTTAATCTGATTTATGTTATTTATAAAGAATGGACAAAAAAATCTATTTTTTGTCAAGAAAAACACTTGTAGCTGTTTCAGAGTGACAAACGATTCTAGAAAGTTCTGACTCAGATGAGCTGAATCCTAATGTGTGGCACATTTATTTTTTTTTCCCATTTTAGTAAAAATGTCGACACGCTTCACCTTCCTTCCACTTCATAACTACTTAGTGCTGAGCTGACACATGAAATCCCAGAAGAATACATGAAAGTGCTTGGTTGTAATGTGATAAAAAACATGTAGGAAATTAAAGGGAATAAACTCTTTAGCAAGGCATTGCACCACAATAATTTACCACAGAATTCCTAATTAAGTGAAACATATTTTCCTCCATTAATGTAGATTCATAAAAATATATTTGTTGTGAAATACAGGAATGAAATAAGTGCCAGTAATGATGATGAACTCCATTTCCTGCCTTAAATGCGCCACATCTTCATCTTCCAGAGTGTAAATTAGTATTCCTTGGACAAACAAATGTAAATATAAAATCTAAATATCTTTTTTTTTTTAAATATATTAAATAGTAAGTTAGTTTATTTTTTATTTATGCATGCAATATCTTTACCTTTTAATAATTCTAGGTTCATATTGCTCAGTAGGAGTTACAGTTCTGTACTGATATTTTTCTGCACCTCTACATACAAGCAGGCCTGTCGCAATAAGCAATAAATCAATTAATCATATGATAAATTAAAACAAGCTCAATAATCTCCATTTGCATGATTTATTGTTGTTCTCTTTTCTCTCTCTTTCTATCAAAAACTGGATGACAAAACTCTTCAGTCTGGTGTTTTGGTCTCAGCTATCCTCTTTTTGAAGGACAGAGATTTCGTAATTCATTTTATTTGTTGTTCTATTTACGATAATTTCCACTTGGACAACAAATGTTATTGAAAACGCATCATTTTGAAAAATGCTGCAAACATTTGACACAATAAGAAGTTGGTTAGTTTGCACTTTTACTTATTTTTACAAAAGTCCTAACTGGGAGTTTTGCCTGTTTTCCCTGTCTGAAACTAATGATCCATGTGTTTTGAAGGACAATTTTGTTTAGTTGAGAGTTCATAATCCATTTTATTTACTGTTTCGATTGCTTTACTTATTTACTTTGGATTTTTTTAATATATTCCAGTTCCAGTGTTAAACGTTCATCTGAATTTAAAGTTTATTAATATTTGATCATGTGTTCTTGCATTGTTACACCATTACCATCATATTACTTGAAAATGAAACCAAGACAACAACTTTATCGTTTAACGCAATGATTTCTGGGACAATTTATCGTCCAGGCCGACATATTACAGACGATATTTTGAATATTTCGGATCGATTAACCCTCCTCTACCCATTGAAGCTGGGCCTGTCTCTCTTTAGCAGCAAAATGATCCCGTTTCGGTTTGAATTTCAGACCCATGATAACAAAAAAGAGACAGAAGAAGAAGAAGAAGAAAAAGAAAAAGAAGAAGGTTTCTGGAGGTATTTAGCTCCTCTAACCTGCATCATTCATTCAGCACACATGCACAAAAGGAGAACTTACTGGGAACCAGCAGCAGCATTTAGCCCAGTATCAAGAGTTGTGGCCGCTATAAAATGCGGGACAAAGGGAGGTTCTTTCAGTCCCCTTGATCCAAAAACCTCCGGTCCGTTTCTCTCCGGAGTCCAGACCGGGACGTCCTCCTGAAATGAATGGATGCACTGGAGGAAAATTCAAACCCTTCGGCCTACAACCGGAGCGGACGCGCTCATTCCCTCCAGGCGCATCTTCGTTTCTGATCCCAGGAAACCCGAAGACCGGGACCAGAACCAGTACCGCGGAGCTAGAGCAACAATAGGGGGGCCGACGAGGATCCTAAACTTCCCTGCGGTTTGGGAGGAGGAAAAGGGGAAAAAAGGCGACCATCGCGTCCTGCAGACTATTGTTTGTGGGGGTGAAACCGGAGATCTCCAGCGCCACACAATCCTCCCCGATTCCCCCCTCCGCGGAAACATGGAACACAATCCCACATCCACGGAACCTCCTCACACATTTTCCACAGCAAGAAGAAATAATACAAATACTACTTACTTATTCCAGATCGTCCATTCAGGTATTTTTCCCCCCTCACTTTCCACTTTCTCTCTCCCACTCAACCGAAGCTCCGTGGGGCCCCGCCTCCGCTCCGGATCGGCCCCTCCCCTGGTCCCCCCCCCCCCCCGGGGACAAACGGGGTCCAGGAAACGGTGCTGCTCCACCGCAACGCGTTAAATTCCTCATTTGAAAGGAATGCGTAGTTTGACGTCATGAAATACAATTAATATCTGCATAAAGTTTAGGGAGTGGGGCCCCCAATGACCCACTTTCTTTAACGCAACATATTATGTTATATTGGCTAGATATTAGTTTATATCCATAAAAATATTTATTTATTCCAATATTTGTTTTGCTTTAAAACAAAATGGATTATTTTCGGAAAATAGTGAATTCAATTCTTTTAACTAAACTACTTTGTCTTTCTTAAGTCAATTTTTGAAAAGAACTTCAAAGTTTAAGCATCATTTATGTATTTTTCTCAACTTTTCTCTAAATTTATTTTTTAATAAAAATATTTAGAAAATATTGAAGATCGTTATACTTTCACACATGTATTAGACATAAAATATTTTTCTTAAGTGAATTTTAATAGAGAGCTTCAAAGCTTTAGCTTAAAAGAAAAGCATAATTTATTTTTAACTTCTTTCAAAATTTTTATTTTTTTAATTATTTAATTACAATCTTTAGAAAATATTTTTTCTAACTTAAAAAAAATACATAAATGCATATCAGCCAGAAAATATGTATTTTTCATTTATTTATATTCACATTAGTCAATTATATATGCTTGGTAGTTTCTAAATAAAAGAGCAGCTGCATTTATTAATTTACTAATTTTTATACTAAATTATGTGCTAGACTCAACTCTAAGTAAACATGCTGTGTTATCTTCACTGGCCAAAAAGAATCTCATTACTGTTTGATATGAATTTTAAAAAGTTTGCTACCATTAATTTTTTTATTCATGTAATGAATGAATGAACTGCAACATTTATTTATGTAGGAGGGTCAAACTTGAATTTTGATTTTGACAAAGTTTCCCATTAATATGCTGAAGTTTAGATGTATTGTGTAGTTTAATGTGAAAAACTTAAAATAATCTTACTAGAAGTAGAAATGTAAAGTAGGGGCCACGTCAAGACAAATTCTCAAAAATGAGTAAAAATCAACAGAAAAAACTTCAGAAAGCCTGAAAAACTGTTGATCCAGATCAAATCTGACAGTTTGTAAACAAAATATTAAGACGTTTTGGAGAGGAAAGGGTTAAGAAAACATTAATGCTGTGCAAGGAAGTTTCTACACACGATGATCCAAGTATCAAAAGTGAGTCTGTTGTTGAATCGTTAACCAACCCGGGCAGCGTTGTGTCGTCATGGTGACCGTTTCCCTGAAGAACATCAACACTGCTGCCTTGTTCTCGCAAAATATTAATCCTATTAAAGTAAACAGGCGACGCCGAAAGCCGCTAGCTAACGAGCCGCTTTGGATGTGGCTGCGGGAATCCTGTGTCCACATAAGGTTATAAAGGAATCTGGAAAACTTGTAAGTCCTAATAAAACGACACGGATCCAAACCAGTTTTTATGGGCTATGTGGTAAAACAGAAGCCACAGTATTATTACTGCAGTTTATAAAACTCCACTATCAGCGTAAAGGATTTGTTTCAAATAGCTGCAACATGTAAGATATTAAAAACACACCAAAGCCTTGGAGTTAAAAAAAAAAGAGAAGCAAATGTTTATTTTTTTGTCTTCAAGATCTCACAATGCATGTTTTATTCCAGCCATTTCATCTACAAAATGGTCAAAATCTCCAAAAAGTTATTCTAAGATTGTTGGAAAAAAAAAAAAAATAGAGAAATTCAAGGGAGTGCAGAGCAAAAGTACCAGGAACATCTTCAGTATTAAAACTCAAAATTTCCAGATTTTTTCCAGCTGGATCAAGATCTTCTCCCCTCCGAATGTTAAAAGAAATAAAACACTACACGCACATGTAGTGGCATAAACAGTATAAATGTCCTAACATCATCCTTTCTAGGTCAGTTTAAAGCATACATTTGATTTTTACTAACCAATCATTGGCTCAAAAAGTGGTTTTTGAATCATTACAGCTGATAATTTAACTACATTTACACAGAAGACAGCTACAGTATTGCACATACCATTGCAATCCCCAAAGTTCACACACACACACACACACACACACACACACACCCTCAAAATTACTCTAAATCAATCAGGCAGCTTCTCACACGCTCACTGTTTAGTGCCGGTCCCGTGACACAGTAAACAAAAACATTCCTCGACATTAAAAAGGTGAAAACCAAAGAAAAACCAAAACTCCAGAGAAATATAAACATCTTGTCCACTGACAGGGCGCCGCTGGTGCCCGACCAGTGTTTCCTGTTCCTGAAGAGTCCAGATCCATCCGGTCCACTCCGGTCCTGACGTCAAGCCTCACCTGAGCGAGTCCATGAACACGGAGTCAGAACCAGCGCCCCGAGTTCAGCCGAGGCGAAGCCGTCTGTGTACCTTCGCTTGCTGAGTTTTAAAGTCTGCGTGGGACAGAAGTAGTACTAGCGGTTATTGTAGTAGTAGGAGGAGGAGTGTAGTGGTGGCGGGCCGGAGACGACTCCCTGCGGATCAGTAGGTGGCGCTGGTGGGCTCCCTCCCCGAGCTGAAGAGGATGTCGGCCTTGGAGCTCATGATGTAGGTCAGCAGGAGGGAGGAGAGCAGCACGCCGATTCCCACGCCGAGCGTCAGCATCTGCAGGAGAAAGAGCTCAAGTTGAAGGGCCAGAATGCAGAAGTCTGAACAGGAAGTGATCCGCGCCATTTTGGTAGGCAAACACAGATGAACCAACAAAAGGAAAGCATATTGACACTCTTCGCCAAAGTGCAAGAGAAAGGTATAACAACAAAATGTCTGCTGTCAGGATTAACCCATATGGAGAATGAAAACATGTCTGACGATGTGAACAATCTGCCTCTGATCTTCTACTACGATGTCGTTCACTACCTACTGAACAGGAAGAGTGTTCCACCATGGAGGAGCTTCCAGGGCCTGAAATCCATTTTTCATCAGATTTGTAAAGGAACTACGAACTCTCCATGTGAATAACAAGCTTCTGGTGACTGGCAGAGTAAGAACACGTGGTAAAAAAACATGTAGGCTACATGTCCATCTTAGCTAGCGCATAAAAGCTACATTGGCTAAGCTAATGTTGCTAGTTCTGGAGTAAGTACTACAGTGAATACCATTGATATTTATGTACTTGTATTGTTTATGTCATCAAACATTATACAACTGCTTTGGATAAATAAAAGAGGCATATTTTAAATAAAAATTTCAAGCATAACATTTGCCAACATCACATAACTAAAATAGGCACTGAAATATATATTCTCAAACATTGGAAAGCTAAAAAAAAATCGGTGTTAAGCAGCCAGTCTTTAGCACTAGCTTTTTGGAAACCCTTTTTAAAATAAGGGGTTTCCAAAAAAACACCTTATTTTTGGAAACTTAAAAATAAGTCAAAGCAAGTGACCTGCTGATCAAAATCACTTTAATAGACTAAAAGAAAGTCTGGCTGCTTGGATGAAAAATATAAACAAAAGACTGAAGATGTTTGGACTGGACTGCACTGTGTAGTCATCCTATTACTGTCATTTTACATAAATACGTCACCGTTCTCTTGTCCTCTGTAAATTGACTCATCTCTCTAATTGTTTTCGGTTGAAGCTAAAGACTAAAGCTAACTGTGAGCAGGGTAACCACTTTCTGTTCTCTGCTCCGAGGGGGAAAAGTTTGAACTCATTAAATTTAACCGACACGTTGTGCAAGGAGTCCCTATTTAAAATTCCACCTGAAGTGAGGAGGTGATAGCAGATGAGGGGCCCTGATTCAGTTCGGCCCGATGCTGCGGTGAGCGTGCAGAGACTTGAAACGCCTTCAAGAAATACGATCTGGCTCTGTCACATCTGGACAGATTTATGTTTATTGCATGGAGCTGCATTATCACTGGTAGTTCAGGTATGTTCTGCTGCAAAACGTCAAGACTCAGACAGAAAATGTTTGGAGTTTCAGGTGATTCTGACAGATTCCTGAATGAAAAGGTGATATGAAACAGACTCATACGTCCAGGATTCCTACAAAAACCTCTACTGCAAAATATCAGATGTATATTTCTAGATTTTCTAGAACTTTCCGAATAGAAGACATTAGATGAGTTTCATCTATAAGCTCCAGAAAGCTAGCCTCTTTGTCAGCAGTGTTGGACTTAAAAATTAGGCTAAAATTTAAAAAATGAAACGTATGAATAAATGACTGCAATGGGATGTTTCTGGATTTCTTTCTGCTCATTTTGTTTCGTTTCTGTGTCTGTTCACCAGATTTGTTTACATCACAATAAATAAGTTAATTTTTAAAAATCAATAACTGATTTACCTCCAGGTCGTGGCTGGCCACCAGGAATATGCGTCCTTTGATTTCCTTCCACCTGGACTCCGTCCATGTCGAATACTCGCTGGTGGTGTAGTTCTCCAGCTCGAAGGCCGGGGATATGGCTCTGGACCAATGCACCGTGGAGCGGACGCAGAATCCGTCCCGCTCCGTACTGTTAGGGAGCGCTGCGCCCTGAACCCAGATGTAGTTGTACAACTAAAGGAAGAAGAAGAAGAAGTTTGGAGGAAGTAAAATAAATGTGCTGCTATGCTCGTTTAGCAGAAAAAAAAAAAATCTAAGAAATTATATTAAATTGTTATTCCTAAGAACTACATTTTTTCCTTTCTTGTCATTCTAATTTTACTCCAACCTTTAAATTTACTTGATTTCTGCAGAATTATCAGAATTAAGTCAACGTTTGGGCATAAAAGCAGCTGTTAATCTCACATGCTTGCTCTCCTTGTCGTCTTCGCTCTCTTTCTGGTTCCTGCAGTTTTCCTGCGTCACGTTGACGACGCTCCCAGTCAGGTTAGCCAACAGGTACTTGGCCAGAATAGTCGGTAAGCTGGCCTGCTGCTCCACACTGATGTAGAAGTTCACCGTGTTGTTGTCTGAGAGAAAAGTCTGTTTTAATCACCATAAATATCCAAAGTATCTTAACTCAGTGGCTTGGAAAATGATTAATTAACCCCTGAATTTGCACATTTTCTCACATCGGAACTCAAAAAGTTAATTATTTACTAATCTGGTGACTTTTAAAGGAAAGAGCTGCACTGGATTTTATTCAGAGTCAGATTCAGAATTCCTTTAAATGTCATTGTGCACAAATAAAGAAAAACAAAATTAAAATTTCAAAGAAACAGAACAACTGGGATGTTAAGACTAAGTAAATAAATAAAGTAATTAATAAATAAATTAAAAATAAGATGAATAAATAGGTAAAAAGGTCTCAACCATTTTCATTCTACGTCACAATTTTTATGGCGTCACATTCCTGTCAAAAACCCTGAGGAGTCTATTAAGCGATAAAAACGCCGCATACCTTTCTGATTGCAGGCATTCCATTTATTCACAGGTCCATGAACGCAGCACTTTGTACATCTATATTGTGTATTTATGTTGTGACTGAGGATCCAAATTGGCTTCTGCTTTCATCTGGGACAGCAGATCAAATTGTGTTGTTTATGTTTGAGTTGTACACTGTCTGGTTTTAAAAGACGTATATTATTATTATTATTATTATTATTATTATTATTATTATTATTATTATTTTTATTAATGTGATGCTGATTCAAAGAAAAGAAGAAGAATAAGGAGGTAAGGAAGCAAAAAGTTTGTTAATTTTTTCTTTAATTTTCCTTAATTTCTTGTTATCCTTCATCCTCCTCTGGTTGCAGAGTTGGCCAGTAGCTAGCTCCATTTACTCAATTACATTTACCTGAGTAGCTTTTTCTGAAAAAAATGTACATTTTATTAAGAAACATCTCTGCTCTTAGTTGAGTAAAATTTCTGGATTTTCTACCCACCGAATGAAAAACAAAATTTCACCAGACACAGAGGCACACCTGCAGTTTTTCTTAAAGTTTCCTAAGTTTTTTATTGAAAGAAAATTATTTGGAAACATTTTCTTTTGCCTGACTTTATTTTTTTGTTACTTACATGAATTATTGTAATTTTCATTCTTAAAATGCCAAAATTTCCACTTAACTGAATATTTTTGGTCCGTCTGATGATGTAATTTTTAAATATTTAATGATTGATAATTTGATCAGTTATTCACTTTTTTTACTCTTATTTGAGTTCATGTGCCCACAAATAAATTGAAACGACTGTATTAACAAGTGTGCAGTTGTAATTGCTTAATAAAACTGCACATCCTCAGGGTTTATGGCAGCAATGTTATGCCATAAAGTTTGCACTACTTTGTGCTGGTCGCAGCAAAATACTTATGAAAAAGTTGGTGGTTATAATGAGACAAAATGTGAAAAGATCCAGGGGCATTATTACTTTGAGGCACTTTGTTCAAGAAGAGAAAAATATTTATTTTTTGTTTAAAAAACAAAACAAAAACAAAGCTAACTTACTGAGATGAACAATGTCCTTCGGGGCTACGATCTCTTGTGTCCAGGAGTTATTCGACGATATGAGGAAACTGTACAGCATTCGGCTCACCTGAGACGAAGTGACAACATTTCTGATAAATGAGAAAAGCCTTAAAGAGAATATCTAATGTCATTTTATATCAACAAAACATTTATATTCATTGTGCGTCTACTTGTCAGATACCAGAGTTAGTTTGATGCGACAAAACGGTAAAAAAAAACTATATTTCAGAATGGAAAAGTTTGTGGAAAAAAATAAAATAATTCAATATAAAATAAACCTAGAATTTAAAATATGGTGTGCCTTATTTTCATCAGGACTGTTATTTATAATTTGTAGAGTTGGAATGCAAAGCATAGTAATTCTGGACTAAAACATTAAAAAAAGTTATGTTCAATTTATTGTTAGAACTAAACGTAAACATGTGAAATGCATTTAATCCACAACTAATAAATCAACTTTCAATGACGACCTAGTTTTTGTTTTAGATGCATAAACTGTGAAAGTGTGAATAAAATAAACAGTAAATGTGTAAATGAATGAATTTACCTTGTACTGCAGTATTGAGTATTTTAAGTCATTAATGCAGTTCACAGTCTTACCGTGAGTTCGTCCGCTTTAATGCTGCTGATCTGTGTTTTCTTTCCTCCAGCCTGAAGAAACAGAGCTCGAGCCACCATGGTCGCCACTTCAGCCAGAGACTGAGAAGAAACAGAAACTAAGATTATAGATGCAGCTCAACCACAGCTGGTATGAATGGATGAATGGATGGATGGATAAACAGTTAGTAGATGGATAAATGAATGAATGATTGATTGAAAAAAACATATGAAAGAATGAACAGCAGTTTATAATGTTTCTCCTTAACCTGCTGTTCCACCAGTTATTCAACAGGTTGTTGCTAGGTAACCACCAGTTACTCAGCAGGTTGTTGCTAGGTAACCACCAGTTACTCAGCAGGTTGTTGCTAGGTAACCAAAGAGTGAGTGAGCCGATTCCTCGATCTGCGAGCACAAGGTTTTGAGCAGCTAAAACCTTTCGGTTCTGGATTGGAGTTCAGTGAATATTATAAATATTGAATATTATCTATTAATATTGATCACAGGTTTATCATGATATACTGTTATTGATTTAATGTCCAACTTGGGTGTTTTATTGAACTACAGTGAGTCATAAACCTTCTGACCTTTGCGGTGTCCGTGACGTGGTTCAGCTGCTCCGCTGGCGTCAGGTTCGGAGGGTACAAGACGTTCAAACTGTCTGCGTTGTCAAACATGCTCTGGAAGTACCTGCACACAGACACAAATCAGCATCCGACACCACCAAACCCAGCAGCAGCAACATACTCCAAAGAGAGAGAGTTCTCTAGATGAAAACACTAATACTTGTTGGAGAAGCTGGAGTTGTAGTCCTCAATGACGACGCCGGGGAACGGCCGGGCTCGCAGGAACCTCTGGAAGGACGAAGGCGGCAGCGGCTGGGTGACGTCGGGTTCCTTCACAGAGACGTTTAAACCTTCAGCGGCCGAGTTCAGGTTGTCGATCAGGTTCTTCACCTGAGGCGGATCAACAAAGAGGAATCCAACTGTGATCTCTGTATCTACACATTTACTATCAGAAACACTTTATTTGAAGGGTTGTGCATAAGACTGACATGAAATGAAGGAGTCTTCATAAATGTTTATAACTGTTGTCATTAAGTGTTATTCTGTAAATATTTACTCTTATCGCAAAGTTTTACTGAAAGTTGCATTAAAAGTCCATTAAACATGTAAACTTTGTATTACTCTGTAAATAATGACACTTTTAATGCAAAGTTCCATTAAAATTTGCATGAAAACTCCATGAAAAGTGTAAACTTTGCATTAAGAGTGTCATTATTTACCAAATCACACTTCATTATAACCGTTATAAACGATTATAATGACTCTTTCATGTTAATAACAGGTGTTATGTTTATGACAGTGTCATGTCAGTCTTATGCACACCCCTTCAAATAAAGAGTTACCTTACTTTCTAAAGTAGGGCTGTCTAAACTTTTTGTCATGTGGGCAAAATCAGCGATTTGCGAGCCAAAAAAAAGAAAAAAAAAACTAAAATCAATTTTTTGGTTTTAGAAAAGAGATGATGAGCATATTAGATCCAAACCGTAAAAAGAATTTTGCATTTTAAGAAAGGCGTCTAGTTTTCATAACATTTTGGGGTCAATTTAACACATTTATTAATGTGTTAAATTGCTGCAATTTAACAAGACTGTGCAAATGCAGAATGAAAGAAACCTCAGTGAAACAGCAGAGCTGCTGCAGACCGACTCACCAGATGAGTCGAAACCCGTCAATAACTATAAATATTAGGTGTGACTCTTTTCTGTCGCTGTCTGAGTTTCTCTTCTGCTGTCAGAAATAATCTCTGGTTTCCATGATGGACTATTAGGGGAATTGAGAAGAACTAAGCAAAATATGAGAATAAAATCATAATAATACCCGAATAAAGCTGTAATATAACTCAACCAAAGCTTTTTTTTCTCTTTAAAAGAGAAAGAAAATGTGTGTGTTTTTATTTGGCGTATGTAAACTTCTGGTTTAATGTAGAACAAACCTCTTTCTGAATGCTGCTGTTCCTCATAGAGATCGGATCCGTGTGGAGCCAGAGGTTGGAGCTGGAATAAAATCCCACCTGGAAAAGACGATTAAACATAATTAATCACTGCAGATAAATTCACTTCACTTACTTTATCTACAAGGAAAAATAAAGCCACTCAAGTAATATAACATAAAAGTGACATCACAAACAGGAGAAAATGTAAATGGTGAAAAACTTTTTGATTATTACAAAAACAGGATTAATTTTGCTGTCAGAATAATACAGTTTGCACAAGAGCATATGCTGTGATTCTTAAAAATCTAAAACCCTGATTGAGGTTCATGATAAAACTATAAAATATATTAAATATTTAAAATTTATATCTGAATGCAAATATTTTTATTTTGCATAAGTAAAAGAATTTGAGCCAATATTGTCTGGGATTCTCTTGCAAGAGATTTTTAAACTCAATTTGATTTTCTGATGACTTAAAGGTTAATAATGATAATAAATAATGTCCACTTTCCATTATGAGTTCATATTTTTGTTTAAAAATAATATGTCTCTTTTATTTATCCAAGCAGTTGTATGAAGTTTGATCACGATAACCTTCTAAAATCAAAAATAACCTTCTAATATCTTTACATATCACCTAATAACTCTAGAGACATTAAATACTGACAAAAATAGTTATTTAATATTGTGATAGATACTGATATCGAATTTCAGATTAATCCAGTTATTGTATTTTATGCAATAAAATGTTAATTTTCTTACTTAAAAACAGTTATTTGTATATTTAATGTGTTTCTAATATTGTATAAAAAAGGCTTTTTTATACAATATTATAAAAATGAATATCTCTAGATTTTTTTTTCCGATTAATAGATTAATCTTTACAATAATTGATCCATATCACCCAGCACTAAGCACCAATATTGATCTTTAGGAGTTCAAACAAAACATGCAGAATTAGAAACTGGTTTATTTTGCCTCACAACTTATAAAGAAGGACAAAAAACAAGCTTTCCAAAACGCACCTGTCCAATCTCCAGCACAGAGTGGACGTTGTCCAGATCTATCGGGAACTGATTTTTCTCCATATCGTAAACCATTTTCGAACTGCCGATGTAGTCAAACGTTTCCTGGGTTTAAAGTAAAACGACAGTTTAACACGCAGAAAGTAAATCCAACTTGGTGTTTGTTAAAGACGGGGAGTGAACAAACCCCGTGGAAGAAAGTGTAGAAGATGGTCCGGTCCAGCTGAGCGTCCTGCGTGGCGTTTCTCAGAGCGTGAGCCGCCGCCAGCAGAGTGATGAGGCCTGAGGCCGCGCTCTCCGCCCCGGGGCCAATCTCAGAGAAGAAGGACCTGCTGTCGAGCTGCAGACACGAAAGAAGAGGAAAATCAGCTGATTCATTTATTTATTCTCCAACTTATCAGCTGATAACGTGGCTATAAACTCCCACATGAAAGGTTCAAAAATGGAGAAAATCTTCTGGATGTGAGGAAGACATATAAAGACATAAATGTGTAGTTTATGTAAAAGTGACAAAAAAGCAAACACAACATGATTAGACGCTGAGAAAATTATATATTTTCTACCATGTTTATTTAAAACATACTCCAAGCTGCCATCAGTTGCATTCTGGGAAATGTAGGACAACTGCAGGACTTTGACTAGCTTGAATCTTAAAAGAAATATACATTTCTTTTAAGAAATAAAAGAAATGTCTTCTGGGATACTTCAAGGTTATTTCTTTAAATTAACTTTTATTCCAATTTTTTATTTCATTTCTTTGTTTTGCTACTGCAATTAAATATTTTTTATTTATTGTTTTACATTTTCATCATTTAAAGCACTCTGATTCATCTTGTTACTGAAATGCGCTAAAGAAATAAATCTACCTTGCTTTGCTGTAATGCAAGGTTCAATCACAATTTCTTTTTTTTTGTATCTTTTATTTTCCCCTTTTGGAATAAAATAAAATATATTTCCAGACGAGCTGGTGTTTTCAAAGGTGAATTCAACAACACATTTGCAGAAAATTCTGTCTTTTCAGGAGAAAAATGTACAGAAATGAAGCTGGATCAAGAGTATTCACTAGCTTACGCTTGCAGTCATGTGACAGCAGCTGCTTCCCTCACATGAGAATCAGCAGGCAGTTTCTGAGAAAGTAAAAGTCTTTCTTATTGTGTTTCAGACTCACCCTGGCTGATACGATGATCACACTCTCATCTGCCTTGTGGCCGTTTTGTGTGGTGTTCAGAGGTTTACTAGGGGCCCAAATATTCTGGTCACTCAAAGGATCACACACCATGTCTAACAGGAGAAGCAAGCAAAAATAATAGATTAGAAGTAATAATCACCAATAAATTGAGTTTATGAAATGTTTTCACTGTATCACAGCATTTAGGATGAATAAATAATCCAGGAAATGCCCAATAAAGTTCAAAACAACCACATATCGGTACTCAAAGAGTACTTAAGCTATTGTTTTGACTTTTGCGATGCTGTGGGATTACCAGGCTGACCATTACTCATGCTAAAGCTGATGCTGTTTCTCCTCATGCAGGTGGGCGTGTTGGTGACGGCGGACATGTGGGAGGAAAGCTGCATGGCGCAGAGAGGGTACTGAGGGTGGCTGCCATTCACGGGACGGTTGTGATCCATGTAGCACTGAGAACGGAGAGAAGCAAACACATTCACCAAACTGTGGCATTGTTCCCAAGGAAGCAGACAGAAAACACAACTTCTTTGTAGTTTCTCACACAGAAGGAAATACGATGTAGCTCCTAGTACAAATATCTTAGTACGGTTGAAATAAGACAAAACTAACTTACAGCTAATTTTTCAGCAAAAATAGGAGCTTCATTTAAGGAAAAACTCCTTAATATTGATGAAAAATGTCTTGTTCCACTGGCAGTTTATTTCACTTAGAACTAATATTTTTTCCACCAATATTAAGAAATTATTGACTTAAAACAAGCTCCTATTTTTGCTAAAAAATTATTTCTAAGTTATGTTTGTCTTATTTCAAGCATACTAAAACATTTGCACAAGAAACTAGATCAAAACTATTTGGATTTTGTTGTTTTCATAAACAATTTGCTGCTGTGCAACATCTGCATTTTTTCTTTATGCTAAAATTGTCCCAGTGAAACATATTAAAGATCAAAGTCATTTTGTGCTGCAACATTAGAATAGCTATGAAATGAATAAAAAATGAGCTACTTGTTGGAGTCTTTACCTGCCGTATGAGCTGCGTGTCGTTGTCGTCTTTCATAGAGAAGATGGGAAAGTCGAACTCCTCGTAGGACAAACCGTTGCCCAGGGGATTCCACTTTGTGGTGTTGCAGTGGGCCAGACCCGGACCGTAGTTCTCCGAGTACACACCTGGGGGGAGAGGGGGAAAAGTAAATAAAATCATCCAGATTATCCTAACTGTGTCTGCGCCTGGTGAGTTTTTGGTTAAAACATGTTTGTTTTTCATTCAGTGGGTAGAAAATCCAGAAATTTTGCTCAAGAGTAGAAATACTTCATAATAAAATCACTCAAGTAAATGTAACCAGTTACTACCCAACTCTACAAAAGAATAATGTCTTAACTTACACTAAGCAAAGTATTGGAACTCCATCTCTTCTGAACTTTTGCAACAAAAAACAAAATGATCCCAAGAACTCAACCTAAAGTAATCGGTTTTGCTTTTTGCCTTTTCCATTTCCATGGCAACACGTCCGACCCACCTGTGTTCTCGTTGGGACAGCGAGTGTGAGGGGAGAAGCCGTCCGGTGGGTTGGAGGTGGGCTCCACCACAGCGACGCCGGCCACCCTGCCGGAGCCGTTCTTCAGCTTCATCATGACGGATCTGACGGACGACAGTTCAACACGGGAACTAAATTATATATACAGGATGCGTCTCGTTCGTTTTTTATTCCTAATACATGTTTGGAAATGTCTTTTTTTATTGCAAAGTTTACTAAATAAGTTCACTAAAATTTGTTCTGGAGGAGAACTACCAGATATTTGCGCTTGTTTTCACTATAAAACTGAATTAAAGCGAAAACATGGTTGATAAAAGATGAATACTTTGTGTTTTACCGTCTACTTTTAGACTTTTATTGTTTTTTTCAGTGTACGTAAGATTAGTTTG